ACAGAATAAAGAACCCGGAAATAAAACTACATAGCTACAACCAACTGATCTTTGACAAAATAAACAAAACATACACTGGGAAAGGACACCCTATTCAATAAACTGGTGCTGGGAAAGTTGGATAGCCACATGCAGAAGAATGAAACTGGATCTCTCTTTTGCACCATGTGCAAAAATTAACTCAAGATGAATTAAAGATTTAAATGTAGGACCTAAGACCATAAAAGTTCTGGAAAAAAATGCAGAAAAAACTCTTCAGGTTATTAGACTAGGCAAAGAATTTATGACTAAGACCCCAACAGCAAGTGCAACAAAAATAAAAATAGACAAATGTCACCTAATTTAACTAAAAAACTTCTGCACTGTAAAAGAAAAAAAATCATAAAAAATAGACAACCTATATAATAGGACAAACATGTTTCATTGACAAACATTTCTAATGTGGAAAGAATCTGTCTATGGTTACTATAGTCAAATTGCTCTTAATTTTAGAATGTTTTGATGAATGAAATCCCAATATTTAAACATGATGTCACTTACACAGATCACATGATTACTGACATAGTATCAGGTTTACACAATCTAACATGAAAATATCTTCAAAATCATTTGATTAGTTGAGATGCACACATGCTTTTTAACTGCATAAACACACCCTCAAAATATTCCTATATGGTTGACCCTTAAACAATGCAGGGGTTAGGGGTGCTGACATCCACTGCAGAGTTAAAATTTGCATATAACTTCTGACTCCTCAAAAGTTAACTACTAATAGCTTACTACTGACTGGAAGCCCTATTGATATAAAGTTGATCAACACATATTTTATATGTTATTATGTACTATAATATAGTGTATGTTATATTATTATGTAGTACTGTTATATAATACGATTATATTCTTACATTATATCATATAGTAGTATTATATAATATTATTATGTTCTTACAATAAAGTAAACTAGAGAAAAAATGTTATTAAGAAAATCATAAGGAAGAGAAAATACGCTTATAATACCATACTGTATTTATAAATATTGTACATTTATGTCATCTGTTTACAGGATGATTGTCTCTCTGAAATGGCAGGTAACTGCAGCTGCAGACCTCAATCTAGATTCTAGGGTGTACATCAAGCAATTCAACTCTTTCTTGTAATGTCATGACTTTTCTCTGCTTCTCAGCAGCACTTGCAGCATCACTAGTGGCACTTCACATGGGTCCCATCATGTTATTCAAGGTTTATAGTGTTGCAGTAAACACAATGAAAAATACATGAGAACTGTGAAAAATCACATTTTATTGCAATATGCAATTTACTGCAGAGACAAATTGCTCACATGGAGATGAGGAATATCACATGGCATTTTAAGCAGATACTCGGAACACTTGAGCTCACTGCAATAGCAACAGGAGGTGACTACAAAATTATTACAGTAGAACAATATGCACTAGAGTTAATTTTATGCAGTTCTGATTTAATACTGCATCTTTACATTTGTTTACATTTCTCTCCAATGCAAACGGTGGCTTTTCTGGTCTATATGTGTTTATATACATAGAAGTTTTGATAAATTCTAGCTTTTCATGATAGATTTATATATATTTTATGGCAGTAAATGATAAAGTAGACTGATATCTATTAATATATATATTTTATGCATTCATGACATAACTAATTTTTTCTTAATTGTTTGATATTTCTAGGTTACATTCATTTTCAAGTGTTCAAATCGTTGCTACTCTCTAAAAATTCTTCCAATATAGTTAGGGAAAAAAGTCCAAATGGGAGCAGAAGAGATCAAACTGTCACTCTTTGCTGATGACATAATATTATACCTAGAAAACCCCAAGGATTCAACCAAGAGACTCTTTGAATTGATAAATGAATTTGGTAAAGTCTCAGGATACAAAATCAATACACAGAAATCAGAGCATTCATATACTCCAACAACAGTCAAAGTGAGAACCAAATCAGACTCAATTCGCTTCAAAATAGCAACAAAGAAAGTAAAGTACCTAGCAATATATTTAACTAAGGAGGTAAAGGACCTCTACAGGGAGAACTATGAAACACTGAAGAAGGAAATAGCAGAGTATGTAAACAGGTGGAAGAATATACCATGCTCATAGGTCGGCAGAATCAACATTGTTAAAATGTCTATACTACCCAAAGTGACCTACAGAATCAATGCAAACCCTATCAAAATACCATCATCATTTTTCACAGATATAGAAAAAATAATTTTATGTTTCATATGGAACCAGAGAAGACCCTGTATTGCAAAATCAATCCTAGGCAATAAAAACAAAATAGGAGGTATCAATTTACCAGACTTCAAACTATACCACAGGCTATAGTAATTAAAACTGCTTGTAACTGGCACAAGAACAGGGACATTGGCCAGTGGAACAGAACAGAGAACCCAGATATAACATCATCCTCATATAGCCAACTAATCTTCGACAAAGCAGACAAAAACATACACTGGGGAAAAGAGAATCCCTATTCAATAAATGGTGCTGGGAAAACTGGATAGCCACATGTAGAAGACTGAAACAGGACCCACACCTTTCACCTCTCACAAAAATCAACTCAGGCTGGGTAACAGACTTGAACCTTAGGTGTGAAACTATTAGAATTCTAGAGGAAAACGCTGGGAATACTCTTCTAGACATTGGCCTAGGCAAAGAATTTATGAAGACGATCCCAAAGGCAATCACAGCAGCAACAAAAATAAATAAATGGGACATGATCAAATTAAAAAGCTTCTGCAAAGCCAAAGAAACTGTCAAGAGAGCAAACAGACAACCCACATAAGGGGAGAAAATTTTCGCAAGCTACATATCCGATAAAGGGCTGATAACTAGAATTTATTTAGAGCTCAGGAAAATCATCAAGGAAAAATCAAACAACCCTATCAAAAAATGGGCAAAGGACATGAACAGAAATTTTTCAAAAGAAGACAGAATAATGGCCAACAAACATATGAAAAAATGCTCAACATCTCTCATCATCAGGAAAATGCAAACCAAAACTGCAATGAGATAATCACCTATCTCCAGTAAGAATGACCTTTATCAAAAAGTCCCCAAACAATAAATGTTGGCATGGATACAGAGAGATAGGAACATTCCTACACTGCTAGTAGGACTGCAAACTAGTTCAACCTCTGTGAAAAGCAATATGGAGATACCTTAAAGCAATACCAGTAGATCTACCATTTGATCCAGCAATTCCACTACTAGGCATCTACCCAAAAGATCAAAAGTCACTTTATGAAAAAGACACCTGCACGCAAATGTTTATAGCAGCACAATTCACAATTGCAAAGCTGTGGAAACAACCCAAGTGCCCATCAATTCATGAGTGGACTAATAAAACATAGTATATGTAGACCATGAAGTACTATTGAGCTTTAAGAAACAATGGTGATATAGCATCTCTTGTATTTTCCTGGATAGAGCTGGAACCCATTTTACTAAGTGAAGTATCTCCAGAATGGAAAAACAAGCACCACATGTACTCACCAGCGAATTGGTATTAATGGATCAATACCTAAGCAGACATATAAGAATAACATTTATCGGGTGTCTAACCTCCTAATTCTATCCACTATTAATTATTAAACTAGAAATAAAATACAAAAAAAAATCCACATATAAGTGGACCCATACAGTTCAAACCCAGATTTTTCAAGGGTCAACCATATCTAGAATTCTCTATGCATTTTCCTAGTTCCATTTCATTCACATACTTTACTTTCCCTAAAAAATAATCACCTTCTCATTTTTCTCATTTTCATTAGCACGTTCCACAATCACCTCACCTGAATAGTTGGAATTAGCCACAAGGAATTAAAGAAATAGTCAAACTATCTGTGCCCTACTCAACCTACCAATGCCATTTTCCCTACTGTACACACCATTCAGTTCCTATAATAAGCTTCCTTCCCTCTAACTCAGTCAAAATGTGGCCATTAGGAAAGGATCAGAACTTTATGTACACTGTGATATACATAGCACCAAAGAAAATATAGCTAAAAGCAGTACTACCAATCTTTGGTTGAAAGAACCATCCTCTCAAGAACTATCTGCCATTTAACAGAGATGATAACTTTGTGCAAAAGAACTTACTCTCTACCAGTGTTGAGGGAACGATGCATCCCGTGGTTTAACACATTTGTGAAACACTGGGGTAGAGACATGGAAGATGCACTATTAGTTGCAGAATTTCTCACACACTGAAATATTCTAATATTCACATTCAAAATATTTCACCACAGAAAATGTTTTCCAAGTAACATAGAGTATATGTTACAGAACACAGTTTGGGCAACTAATGGAATAAAGCCCTGGAAGGATGAGTTCAAGTATTTCAGGTATTTGCCACCAGGTAAGCAAAGCATGAGCCACCCTTCATGATGTCCCACATGGCCACACTCACCTACTCACCTAGCAACAGCCATAGCAACTGTCAATTACAGAGCATCAACTTTGCTCTAAGTATTACTGTATCTTCTTTCATCTTTTGCTGATGAAAAAACATTAGGTACAGAGAGGTCTTATAATGGAATTACTTAAGATCCTATGACCACTAAGTGATGCATTTATTATATGCATCAGTTCAGAAAATGATTCCAAGGGGCATAAAGTAATAAATTACTATCAACACAAAACACATCCTAAGGAAAAGCATAAATGTAGTGTGCTTTAACTGCCAACTTCTTAGCAGACTGGTCCTCATAAAAGAAATAGGAAAGCTGTCTATTATTTCTTTCAATAATTATAAATGCTTCCTAATTACCCATATGTTACTCAAAAATAGAAATTTGCTTGGGGGGACTTTTATCCTGGTGACCTTTATAGATCTAGGTAAGACACTGTAGATTTATACCTTATAAGCAACAAATTAATTCCAATAGCATTTTAACAATTCTGAATATATCACTAAAGCTTTATCCATACAACTATATCAACTACATCCACTATCACTTTTACCTGTATAATGATATTAGAAATGCCTTCATCAAAAAAGTCATTAAGATACTCCAATATAATCCATTTTGTGTTATTGTTTTGTTTTTGTTTTTCTGAGGGGAGGGGTATAATATATGATATAGTTGTGGACTAAGCCTCCTTCAAAACAAGAAACAAAAAGATTAACCACATTCTTATTAAAAAGTGATGTTTAAACAGAATTAAATTATCAAAATGAGAAAATTTTCTTTATCCATTAACTACATAATTTTACACGTGGTACCATATAACTTGTTTTCATAGCAGATCATAGCTTTCATTGAGTTCAATTTGTAGTGAATGCGCAGAGATACATACATTTGAGAAATTATAATGTTCAACACAGCAACAAGAAAAATTAATCAGAAGCACATGAAAGAACATTTATATGCGTTTCTCAGTCCTGAGATTTATATGACTGTGACACCAGAAGTATAGAGATTGAGCCACATAAATAAATTTCTTCTAATAAAAGTGAGAATTGAACACTACCTCATTCTTCAAGTGATATTTGCTGTTTGCTAAGCACCTGCTGTGCTTTAGGCATTTTATGTACAGAATTATATTTAATCATCCTGGCATTCCTATAAAATAAGTATGCCACTCACTCACTTGAGATATAAAAAAATTGGATTTTAGAGTTGCTAAGTAATGAGTTCAAAGCCATACAACACATGAAAAATCTTATATTTGAATTGGTATAGAGGTACAGGTATAATCTGCTCACAAATGTGAACAAAACTTGGGGCGTTAGTTGTCTTTTAAAATTAAGTTAGTTATATTTTTAATGTATAAGAAAGCAGAGTGGAGATTAGGAGATTTGTCTGATTGGTCTGTAATACAAATAATAATCCTGATAAATTTTAAACTGAAATTCTATATGCATATCCAAAGATATATTTTAAATTCCTTAAAAAAGGCATTTGACTTTTAAAATTTCAGTATTTTACACAGTTTAATATTAATAAACAATTAGATATTTTCTATAATTTCACTGAAGACAATTTCCAATTAGTGAGACAAATTTTGTGATAGAATTGTACATGGGAAGACATTTCAAATATAGAAAACAGTGTCTTCTTCCATTCACTCAATAACTACAGAGGGGAAGTTCAGCCTTCATGAGTCGTGACATGAGTGAGTGGAAAGTTTCCAACTTTGTCATTTGATTTAAATAAACCAAGTTACTATGTATTTCTTCTGTGATTTATGGTTTTTCACAGACAGGATTTTCTACCCAAATTAATCCAATAGAATATTTACTAATATATCAAAGTTAATGCCCTCTAATTAATATATAGATATAATTCATTTCCAATGGAATGAAAGGCATCTGTATTTATTGATACAGATCCACCAAATAGGAGATGGCTCAGGAACCAGAAATTCTTGAAGTCCTGACACTTGTGTGTCCCAGATGCCAACAGCTGGGTCAGTGCCTTCCTGATGCCCTCACTTCCTGATGGTGACAGAGGCAGTAGATCCCCCTAATAAACTAGTTAGGAAAATTATTTCTGGTGGCCAAGCCTAGAGATTGCTCCCAAACCCCCATATCAATTTTATAAAAAGCTAATTCCCTATATTAAATTTCCTTCTGCTTAAAACTGTCAACTGCTTTCTATTAAATGCCTGTAAACCATGTGTTATGCATCCCAATTATTTTATGGAAATGAGTAGACAAAATAATCTTTCAATGCAAGTGAAAGAATGGAAGAATAAATATCTAGTAATAGCCAAGAAAATTATGAAGAAGATTTCTTGGGAGAAGTTTTCTTAGCAGATATTAGCTTTTTAATAAACTATTAATAATACATTAGTATAACAGAGTAGAGAATAGAAAATTCAGAATACAGACTGTAGGATATATAAAACTTAATTACATAACAAAGGTAGTATTTCAGTTCAATGGGAAAGGGTTTGGGTCATTTAATAAACACTGATTTCTCAACCAGCTAACCTTATTTTAAAAAATTAAGTTGGATTCCTGCATCATGCCATACACAAAAATAAATTCAAGACATATTAGATATTCAACTGCAAAAATTAAAATCTCAGAAAAAAATGTAGAAAACTCCACATGTAACATAGGAGTTGGGAAGACTCCCTCAGCAAGACAGGAAACAGAAGATACGGGAAAAAAGATAAGACACATATTTGACATAAATGTTAAAAAATGTTCAATGGCAACAAATATTAAAATCATCTAACAGATGATAAATTAAGAAAAATATTTGTGATGCATAAGATAAAAATTTAGATTTTAATATATAATGTGATCTTACAATTTTTTAAGGCAAAAGACACAATGGAAATATGAGTAAATGATATAAATATATAACACAGAGAAGAACAAATCCCAATACCAAAGAAATATATGAAAAACACTCAATTTCAAGAGAAAAATGGTAATTAAAATAATTGTAAAATATCACTATGAAAATACTTCTTGTAGTGAGCATGAACAGTCTCTCTAAAGTGCTCAAGGAATTGTGAGTTTTGCTAGTACTTCTATGAGAGTAACCTGATAATATACATCCAATAATATGTCATGAGAGAAAAATAAAATCTCTATTCATTTCATTGGAATTTTTTTCTGAAGGCTGAGAGATCAGTGCTGTCCAACAGAAAATATAATACAAATCACAAATGCAAGGCACATAGGAAATTTTAAGTTTTAGCAACCATGGTCCAACAAATACAAAGAAATAGGTTAAATTAATTACAATATTTTATTTCATTGAACAAACTCAACATATTATTGATATAATTTCAAGACACAATATAAAAATGATTGAGAGGTTTTACATTCTATTTTTTTGAGAAGTCTTGGAAAATTGGTGTGTATTTTATATTTACAGCACATAGCAGTTTGAACCAGCTGCATTTTAAGTCCCCAACAGCCACGTGTCTAGTGGGTACAGTGTCAGGCAGCACAGTGTAGTTTTTTGCTTATCAGCACAGAGAAAACATGTCAGATTACAGCAATCCAACATGACAGAAAACTCTGTGTCTACATTCTTGTCGAGGAATACAATTTTGAGCTCACTCTCTTTTATTATAAAAATCTAACATGAAACAACTAATACGTAATAAGAGTTGCCTAAATTTGTAATATTACCAGCCTGTTTGATGTGTTTTTATCTAGCAATATCCGTCTCTTAAATTCAGCCAGGAAGAATGCAGTTGGAGAGACTTATTTAGGGCTGGGGTTTAATCACGCGTCGTTGACAGGGAAGGCGACGGATCAGGGGTGGCAATGCTGACGCATGGATTCTAAGTTGGACGAAAAGTGATGATGTACAGAAAAAAGTGACTTAACACTGTACCAAAGTTTTCACAGAAAGAAGTATCAGTTATTTGTTTTCCATTAAGATCCATAAAAAAAAAAAAAAAACAGCAAAGGAAGGAGGAGAGGAATGCGAGGAGGTGGAACTCCAAAAACAGAAGAAAAGAAGGAAGGAAAAAAGTGAGGCAGAAATACATAAACATGGAAGAAAATGTATACACTAAAATGGATTCCTAATGGAATTTATGGAACGCTCCTCTGAAATTTCATAGAGGAACATCCCCCTTGGTGTGATGCTGCCAGCTTTTGAGAACAATTCAATTGCAATAGTGACACTGACCTCGACGCCAGTCTTCTCTGACTGCTCTGCTGACACCCTGCTATCAGAAGGGCGTCTACGTGGCCTCCACACCCTCCCCCTCGCTCCAATCTGGCTCTCATCCTTTACCGAAGCTACTTCTCTCTCTAAGGTCATTTGTCAACTGCATGATGCCAAATCCATTGGCTAAATTTCAGTCCTCATTTTGCCTGGCCTATTGCAAGAATTTGGGCTTACCAGTTACCACTCTTACCTACCTGAAAGTCTTATCGTTGTACTTTTCATTGTTCTTCTTTTCTTTTTAGTCTCTCCTCAATCCTATCGAGCAGCTCCTCCTCTTTCTCTACCAACACTTACATGTTGCTTTCCCTGGGTCTCTATCCCGGGCCATCTTTTGTGTCTCATTTACTGTTGCAGTTTTAAATACCGTATCTTCCTAATTTTATATCTCCAGCTTGAAAGACATAACATCCAGGTCCTTACATCAAGCTGCTTACTTGACTTCTCAACCTGATTCCTTCTCAGGCTCCTCAAATACAACAGATCTGAAATTGAAATCTTGTTCTTCCACGCCCTCCCAGTTTTCTCCTGCTCCTTTATTCCTTCTCCGTGGAGGAAACGACAACTTCATGATCCCCCCCAGCTTTCCATGCCACAGATCTGGGCGTCATTCTTTGCATCTCTTTTCCCCCTCCCTCCAACTCTACTGTCTACAAAAGGTATGTAAGTCACAGTTCTTAATGAATCTGTGCGCTTCTCCCTGTATTTTACTGTTCGGTAAACCCTTAATTGTTCACCAACTTCCACTGTTGCCCTCTCCCAAGTAATTGCACCATAGCGGCTCATGTGATTTAAGAACAGAAATCTTACCTCACACCTCTTTAAAAACTCTTCCTTATACTTGGGGCGCTTTTTACAGATTTGTGCTAGTTAGTTTTGGTATATTTTTCCAGCTTCTTCTGCAACTCATTATAACACTGTGAGTGTAACCGTGACAAATCTTGAAAACTTTTTGTCATTCTGTGTCTCATTCCTTTGCCTACATCATTGCACTTAATTGACACACCTGAAATTCATTAATTTGTTCCTGTCTCTATAGTTTATAAAGAGCACACCGGATTCTGATTTGTTTTCCAGGGTAATCATTAATCCCATTGTTAACATAATCGGGTTTACCTTGATGAAGATACTAAAATTTCCACTGCATTACAAAAATATATGTTGGTGAAGGACTCATATTAATTCACTGATATTACATCTAAAGTTCTCATAATGGCCTGTCAGTGGTGACATGCTTCTTTATATACCATGGGGATTGAGATAATAGCTAGTAAATTTACACTACTTTTATATCTTATCTTCCTCTTTTACTAAGATAAATGTTTCAACAATTTTCTCTCTGTATGACTCAATTTAAATACATTTTAAACATTTGCCAGAAAAACTATAAATTTTTCAGATAAGTAAAATGTCCTATTAACAAAACAAGGAAAAATGCTATTGTTATAAATTTATAGCTACGCAATTCAGAACTCTAAAGTTCTTAGCAGTGCTTAACTCATAATATTAAACTATGAGTGAATTATTTTCTCAGCAACTCGAGGGACTTAAGATTGGAAGCAAAAGTAATTGCGAGAACTTTTCTTCAAATTTCAATATTAAAGCTACAAAACTCCACATATTCCCATCTGCAGATTTACTATACTACATTTTCTCATACTCTATTCTTTGTACATGAAAAGGATACACCTAACTCTCAGGTTGTTTAATTTTCAGTGGAAGATACATAGCAGACATAATTTTAACAACAATAACTTTCTAAAAGAGAAGAAGCTTATAGGAACAGAAGTGGCAATTTTTGAGAAATAAAAGGTACTCTAGCCCAAATTCTTGTTTTCCTCCAAAAAGGAGAAATTCACTGAAACCAGTTCCTGTAAAGAGAGAGTAGTTTTAAGGATACCACAGGCAATTTCATGGATGGACAAGATCAGTAAAACAAGTGCAGCTAGGTTTTACATGTGCTGGACTTAGGAAGTCAGAAATTAAGACTACTCCCTTTATCCTTCAATCCTCCTCAACTCTCATCATACCTTGTTTCTAATTATCCATCTTGCACCGGAACCAACTGACTGTCATCCTCAGCTGTATTTCCACTGACAACCATCTCATTATCTTTCATTGA